CCAGGCTGGTCTCGAACTCACAAGGATCCTCCTGCCTCAGCCTCTCAAGTGCTGGGATTACAGGCATGTGCCACCACGCCTGGCGAGGACCATGTGCTTGCCAAGCAGGAGCTTATGCCACTGAGCTAGATCCCTGGCCTACTGCCCCTTTATTTTAAAAATGTATGACTTCAGGCTGAGAGTCTATCTCAGCAGTAGAGTGTGTGTGTAACATGCACAAGGCCCTGGAGTTGATCTCTAGCACACACACACACACACACACACACACACAAATACACACATGGATATGTATACAATTTTAATGTATATATACATATTTTAATGTATTCTTTGGAATAGGTAACATAAGTACACAGTGTAACTTTTTCTTTTTTTTTTTTGGTCTTTTTGAGACAGGGTCTCACTATGCAGTTTAGACTCACCTTGAACTCACTTTGTAGCCCAGGCTGGCCTCGAACTCGCATGGATCCTCCTGACTCAGCCTCCCAAGTGCTGGGATTACAGGCGTGTGCCACCACGCCCGGTTAACAGTGTGACTTTAAAAGGCACAGAGGGCTGTACACTGAAAGCTCTTTTTTTTCCTGCCCTTTCCTGCCCGACAGCAACCTCCTCAGAGGTCACCATAGTTACCAGCTTCTTGTGCAGCCTTCTGGAAATAATTTATGCACAAATAAACACATATAAGCTTCTGCCCTCCGGACTCAAATGGCAGCATCCACACATCCTGCTCTGCACCTTTTTTTTTTTTACTGGAAATCGAACTCATGACCTCACCCTTGCCAGGCAGGTGCTTATGCTGCTAAGCTATATTCCTGGCCCCGGCCCCTTCTTTTTTTAAGTTAAAATGGGATTGTGAAGATGATTATGATTGTCTACATGTACATAAAGAATCTCCTTTCTTTTTTGTGGCTGTATACTATTTCATTGTAGGAAGTCATGTCATGACTGATTTAACTAATACCCTTACACAAGGGTGTTTCAGGCGTTCCCATCTTCTGGGGCATTCTGCCATGAAGAACCCTGAATTTTGCCGGACAAGGTGGTGCTTGCCTGTGACCCCAGCATTTGGGAGGGAGTGTGAGGCAGGAGGGCAGAGAGCTCAAGGCTGGCCTGGGCTATGCAGTGAGACCCTGTCTCAAAAAATATGATTAAATACAAACATAAAATTCACACAATTTTTTGTGTGTGCTAGAGACGGAACCTATTGCCATGTGTGTGCTAAACACCCTCTCTCCTACTGAGCTACGCGGCCGGCCCTCGGTCATTTACACACAGGCAGTGTTACACCTGTTCCCACCACTACACTGCTTTCTGTGAAGTCCCAGTGTTTAGTGAGGACGGCTAGCGCCGGCCCTGTCTGGGGCCCTCGGGACTCAGAGATGAGTCAGCCCCCCTCTCTGCAGATGACTCCTGGGCTACAGAAAGGCAAACAGGCCCGGGAGGGGACACTGCGGAAGAGGTGAGTCTGGAGTGCCTGGACTCGGGGTGCCCCAGGGAGACCCTGAGGGTGCAGCGGGATGCGCGGAGGGAGGTGGTCTCTAGCAGGGGTGCGCCCAGCCATCCAGGTGTGACCTGCAGGCAGAGGGGCCACGGGGATGCTCCGAAGGGCCACGAAGGCCACCGTGAGGACTTTGTCCTTCGGTTTGGTCAGTTTGGGGGCGAATGTGAGAAGGGGGCTGGAAGGCCGGGGAAGGGGAGGAGGGCAGGTGGGGTGTCAGGGCTCCCCTGGCTGCAGGGCTCGGGGCTTTCAGGGTGGGCTCGACGCCCCTGCCTACCTGAGGAACAGAACTGGAGGTGGCGGGGATTTGGGTGTGGAAGGACGGACTCCCAAAGGAGGTGCTCAAGGGGACACTGGTCTTGGGCGGCTGTGTTGCCTCACAAGGCGATGACCAAAAGCCAAAGGGAGGAGGCAGGAGCGAAGCCACAGCCTCGGCGCGCGTCCCTGACTGTGTGGCCCCCCAGCCAGGCTCAGGGACCCCGAGATGCCAGGCCAGCGATGGCAGGGGAACCCGCCCCCTCCCAGGCCGCCCCTAGGTCACTGCGTCTCTCCAAGCCCCGCCCCCACGGCTACGGAGGGGGA